GGGAGACTGGGACAAAAATGGGGATGGGGAGGTAGTCAGTGATCATAAAACAGGACAAATTTGCTTGGACCCTATGAAGTTCCAGGCTTTGATCTGGCCTTATTATTGACTCAGTTAACTGATTTCAAACACTAATCAAATATATTATCAAAAATCAAATACACCATCGCCTCTTTCAGTTGTTTTAAAATTCATATTTCTATTTTCTATAAAAATGAAACTGCCAGGACTTTGATTTGAGTTCAGAAAGGCACAAGTGTGGAATCTAAATCACACTCTCAGAGATGTGCTATTTGACCCGGGATTCGGATTTCTAGTTACAATAGCCACATCAGAAAGCAAGGAAATAAAGTCTGAGGGAGTTCAGCAACACACAGTGCTGGGTCTATTTTTCTTTAAGTTCCCTTGAGGGTTTTCCAAGAGCAAAAGGCTCCTTTCCTCTTAGAAAGGGTGCCATGGCTGCTAGTGCGGGCTGAGGCAGGCACAGTGTTTTCATTTCCCCAGCCAAGACAGACTTTCCTCTGAATAAAACACAAACATTTAATGCTGATGAAACACAAAAAAGGAACCCTCAGCGGCTGGCATTGCCTCTGAGTCTCCCACCACAGAGACCAATGGTCACGCAGCTATTCCCAAGGACCATTGCAGAGAATTCATTTATTTATTTTGGGGTTGGCCAGACATCCACCATGTCTACTATTAGCTATGGTAATGGCTCCAATTAAGGAAAATGTCATCTGTTTGAAGCAGCAGGACATTAGCTCAAGGCAGATGACTCCAGACACTGGCAGATGTTTCAGCTCTTCAAGCAGTATGCAGGCTGCCGGGAGAAACATCTTCAAAGAAACATGAATGTCCTGGACTCTTCACTGACAGTGTTTCTTTAAGACAGTTAAGGAATAAGAACAAGCAAAATGAAGAGTAAAGGCCAAAGAAATGTAATTTCATGGAATGTTTTTAATCAAACTGTTAAAGGAAGTAAATTGTGGGTATTACCTTTCACTGAGAAGCACATATTGTTTTCTTACTTCATTTTATAAATATCTTTAAACAAAGCAAACACATCCATTTTCTTTCTTCTGAAAGCCCATTAGGGTAAAATTGCTTACACATGTAGTAATGTGAGAACAGCAGATCACACTCCATCGATTGTACAGTACCTAGGCCAAAACTAATTTAAGAGTCTATAAAACTTTTTATACCCACCTCATATGGGTGGATTCATGTGTCAGTGTAGAATTATCCAAACATGTGCAGAGTAATATTTCACTTCCCCTGCCTTAATAATTCATTTGGTTATTTATTCTGCTGAACTAATATTCTTATTACTTTTCTGACCTAAATTTTATTATCTTATGAAAAATGAAGATGAAGAATTAAGAGAGGGGTTCCATGGACTAGAATCCTTTTACTGTGGGTCCTATTGCTTGAGTGATTGCTTTGTGACTTTGATCAACTAAGCCAGTCCCTCCATCCTTTATTTCCATTCTTCAAGGTGCACATAAAAGAAATTAAGGTTCTGTGAAGATTATAGAGTACTAGAGGCCCGGTACACAAAATTCGGGTAGAGTCCCTAGGCCTGGCCAGTGATCAGGGCCAATCAGGGACTTCCTTCCCC